AACCTTTTTTGAAATAGCTGTATACACTGCACCTGCGGAAGCACGTTTATTTTTTTCTACAAGTACTAGTAAAGCAGTTTTTACCTTTTCCTTCAGAATGCATCGTTTCATATGATTTCTGTAAATTAGCAGCCTGTAGGTCATTAAAAGCTTGGTCTAGTTCCAGTGGTTCACCAATTACTTCAGATTTGCTGTCTGGACACAGAGCAGGGAATGCAAACCAATAATAGAATATGTATTTCTTCAAGTTCTAAAACAGAAACAAAGAGAAATTCAAATTTCATAGTTATATACCAACTGTCAAAGCCCATTTTTCTTGTACCTCTGATTGGGCAAGAGGGTATCACGTGACTGTGAACAAGTTTTAATGTTTCCGCAGCAACAGCTCTCAGCAGGCAACAATATGTTGTAATAGCAATACCAGAAGTGATTTCCCTGGAAATGTAAGTTTTCCTACGTTTTTCATAATCAAAAAATCAAATAATTGTTTCGTGTTCTTTGACACTTGGTATGCAACAAAATTCACTTATTGACTGGAATTTCAGGACGGCAGTGTGTTTTGTGGTACCTTGACAGTGATGTTCCCCTTGACTTCACCTCTGGAAAAATTTCTTTCTGAGGGCCACAAAACACACTGTTTGGGGACCTCAGCCCCAGCATTAATCGTTCAATACCCTGAAAGACCTCTGAGGTGACAAAGTGTCTCAGTCAGTTTAAATTACTAAGCTCAGCAGCACAAGTTAGTAGAGTTTGTTAGGTCGTCTTTCCCTTGATTTAAGAATTTTTCTCCAGGTTGAACATTCAGTTTTCCKCCTTCAGCAAAACCTAAGGTTAAAAAAGCTAAATCCCAATTAAATCTGTGAGTAATMCATGCCTTTACTTTGAGCTCAGAGGTTGTTTCTTGGGGTATCAATTAAAGAAGGTTACTAAATGATAAATAAGTTGTACAGCTTTACACTGTTGAATTCTCACTCACTGCAAATGTTAGTAGATAAAACTGGCAAAGAAGTGAAGGATCTTCTAGAACAGCTTTAGATCTGATGGCTTCCCATATCTATTGAAGAAATGATCATTGAACTTGTAAACACATATTGTAAGAATACATAACTATCTTATTTCATGAAATTTTTGCAACTTCACAGGTTGCATGCCATATTTCACAATGATTTAAATTCATCACAATTTTGCAAAAAAAGTCCTAATATATAGAGGATATTACAAGGTAGCATGAAGATATGAAGTTTATCTTCGAGTGGTGAAAAATATCTCACCAGTGAGTACAACAAATGAGTGAAATATTTTTCAACAGGAATAAACTGGTATTTTGCAATTTTTTTTATTTAGACTCTAACATATGTTTTCTAGTTTACAGTTAGAGCAAAATTTTGAATTAACTCAGGTCACTTGATCTTCAATCATTACATTATTTTAGCGACACTTTAAGATCGTGAAAATTGCAAAATAAATTACTGTTACGAAAACTTTTCTATGATAAGGTAGTTCATATCATTAGTTTTTCGCTGTCACTAAAATTTTCCCTGAAGCACACTATACCTTCTTGCCCAAGGCATCGATAATGGCTTTTTTGTCTAATGTACGGAAATCTTCCATTGTGTTGGTATTCAACAGTTCTCCATGTGCTCCAAAAGATCTTTGAGGTATACRTCCCCTAAAGCATTTGAGGTGAACAAATCTGAATCAAACAATAGGCTGCCTGTGTTTTTATATCTCTGCCGTAAGTTCCATTAGCTATTCTGATGTTGAGGGAAAACGTGGGTCGACTTGKCATTGCAGTGCATCATGGTACTGTTTTAKTTGGGATATTTCAAGGATGGTTTATATTTCAACAACTAAAACAGTGATACCAAGTTGAACCAGTTTTTTCCTCAACTACAGAATGGCTAATACATGGATGATTTACATACAACCATTCCCAAGAAAGTTAATCCTTTCACTACTAGAGGCTAAAAGGGTCCAACACAGGCTATCTGGAACATAATTTGGGT